TTGGTTACCGCTGTAAACACAGCAGCTCTGCGCTGAAACACTACTTTAATAAGAAGTATACAGAGACGAGATGAAAAGAAAATACCACGTAAACTTTTCTGAAGCCAGTCAGTTCCCCTCAGAAACACATTCATATAAACCCCCAAATCAATATTGAGGATTTTCTTCCAATAGCTCATGCATCATGAACAGTGAGTGATCTGCCTGCTACAGTATTTTTCTCTGTGTGTCCATCTTCAACGTCTCTGGCCTGTGTTAACGGGCATTTACAGACTTCATATTTTCACATAAATTACATTTTGGAAAACGATTGCATTGCAACGCAGTTTGTGCAAGTCCAGAACAGAGACGAGTTGCTTGCAATAAGACAAAAAACGGCCGGTTGCCGATCGTGTAAGCTCCAGGCGAAGCCATCCTACACACATGTGACTGACCGCTCGCTTGCACCAACAGGAGGAGGAGGGTCGTGTTACTCTCTACACTGCACTCAACCTGAGGGATTCCTACACTTTCAGTCTTTGAGGAGACATGAATAATCATACTGTGCATACCGCAGGAACTGTATAATGGAAAATATTAGCGGTTTTGAAACCATGAAATTTTCAACTCGCGGTATACCTTGAAACCGGCAATCGGCACATGCCCACCACTAACTATTGACACAAAACATGTTTTACATAAACAACTTGCTGCTTAACCACAATAATGCAATGCATTGCTGGAGAAATATACTAGATAGTCATGACTGTTTCCCGAAACCAGTAACTTTGTCGCACATCTGTCGGTCAAATTGCATTGGTTCAACAATATAGAGCTGCCAATAATAATTCAAGCAGGTTGTGGTGTAATAACTTATGCTTATTTGAGGAGAGGAGATGTTATTTCCTCTCACAGGCCCGAGGCTGGATCCAGGGATGGATTATGACGCGGCTGGGCCTCCCTCTGGTCTAGTGGCCTGGGCATGTGCTCGGTAGGCCCATGTGTAAATCCATCCCTGCCTGGATCACCTCTCTCAGATCTCTTTTCAATCTCTCCACCGCAGCATGAATATCAGGAAGACTCTGAGGTCTCAGAGGCTGGGTGGTTATGGCCAGATCTTATCTGATACGAGCGATTTGCGGTCTATCACACTTCCAAGACATACCTAACCTGTCCATAGCATGACCCATAACCCCCAAAAGTCCTCCTATAGGGGCAGGCTTGACTGCAGCATGTCCCAAACTGTGGGGTGCAGGCGCCTGTCCGAATTCCCTCAAGAAAAGAGACAAGCGCGATCAGAGATTTTTCATTGAAAAGCTCTTGCAATGTGCACATCGTGACTCCTCCAGGACAGAACATGCACGATCCTCACCTAAACAGAAGGCACACAAGTCATGTGTATGGTTTAGTATTCTAATTTGTTGAGATAGTGAATTGGTGGGTTTTTGTTAAATGTGAGCCAAAATCATCACAATTAAAAGAACCAAAGACTTAAACTACTTCAGTCTGTGTGCATTGAATTTATTTAATACACAAGTTTCACAATTTGAGTTGAATTACTGAAATAAATGAACTTTTCCATGACATTCTAATTTATTGAGATGCACCTGTATGCTTCTAACCACAGGTCAATTATTTCTAAACACACGAGTTTACAATGCTTTTGCATTTCATTAGAAATTTGGTTCTATTTGTATCAAGGGAATTTGCAATCATAGTTGACTAACAATGCTTTTGGGAAACAACCCTGGTCAATTAATTGTTTGATAATTGGCCATTTTGATAATATCATAACAGTCTTGTTAGTGAATAACTATTTTAGTGACAATTTTTTAGTCAGACGGTGAGCACTGGTCAGCCGCTAGTATTTCATCAATTCATTATTAAACCCTTCATTCATGTCAAATGAAGATATTGTTAATGAAATTTCTGTCCCTCCATTAAAAGTTAATTCCATAAAAGCATTCATATTAATCAAGAAGTTTAATTCAAGTCGTCTGAAGAGACACGATCACTTTATATGATCAGCAGATTTAAAGTAGGCTTTTAGTCACATAAACAGTTTAACACACATGGTAAACAATCGTCATTTGTGTTTCATTGATGAACAAAAGTTATATGGGTTTGGAAAAAAATGAGTAATTGTTTTTCATTGTTGTAAATCTCTTTAAAGTCACAGGAGCAAAAATGACATGTTTAAATGTCATAGAAACAATGTAAAACTAGTTGTGAAATATTTAAAATATGACTGTTAGACACTATAAAAAGTAGAATATAATTATACTTATAAAATTGTTAATCTTGATAAATCCGTTGTTCTTTTAGCTTTGCTGTTTTCTGTAATGACTGTCTCTCTTTGTCCCTTACAGAAGCAGATCTGCACCAAGATAATGAAGCACTGATAAATGTGCTGGTCATAGCAGCAGCAGTAGGAGCAGCAGCATCAGGAGCAGCAGCAGCAGCAGGAGGAGCAGCAGGAGCAGCAGCAGCAGCAGTAGGATCAGCAGCTTTGATTTACTGTTGCTATAAGAAATTTAGACCGGCAAGACAAAATGGCAAGTATTACCTACAGCTAATACTGTACTGCTAATAATACTGTGTAAAATTAAGAAACCTGAGCTGGACACATTCCCTTATCTCTAACTTACTGTAGCAGAAAAATAATTTATTAAAGAAAAGTAATATGAATATATATATATATTAGGGCGGCACGATAAATCGCATGCAATATTTAATGCGCATCTTGTCAGAAAGCCGTTTCTGTAATCAGCGGTAAATCTCCATCACGTGCGTGCTTTCACATTGAGCAGCATTAAGAGGCATTTATGGCTTAACCTGTCGGGGCTAAAGGAAAAGGACAGGTATTTTCTCCTTGATGCCCCGGTATCGCCTGCCGGGCTTTTCGGAGCTGCTGTTGAGACAGTAGTCCGTAAGTTCAGGGAGGTGAAGGTTAAGTAAGTGGCGTTTGAGCACTACATCCCTTGCCATAGGCGGCGTCCGGTCAACCACCTGAAGCTGAGCCTGCTGCCGGGCCCAGCTGGCGGCAGAGTCAAAAGGCTAGTGTAGCTGCGAGAGCCCCGACTCCTCGGAGGCGGGGCTCGCGCTGGGCAGCGACCTCGCTCAAGGCAGAGACAGGACCTCAGGAAAGTTACCAAAGGCAAGCCGAAGCCCTGAGTTCAAGGCTTTAATTTGATTTACTGTTAGATTTTGTTAAATAAAGCCCCTTACTAGCCGCAGTTGAATGTTGATTTCATTTTTGCAGCTTATGAAATATATTCTTTCTTCTACTACAATTTTGTCATGTAGTGGGGATCAGTCCCTATTTTCAATTCATAGTTTTCCCAGTGCAACGGCGGTTTTCCCGTTGTATCGGTGTTAGGTTGTGAGATGTGTTGAGGAACGTGGGCTATTCCGCGAATCGCGTCCCACTCTTTCAGGTTTCTCTGTTATACGAATTGCTATGGGTTTAGAAAGTTGGGCAGAATCTTTCTTGCTTCCCACTTCTTATTTTCGAGTAAACGGGATGAGGCATGTTGCCTCCGTAGGCTACTGCACATGACTGTGACATGTGTTGAGAAGATGGGCGGTATTGCAGCTTGCATTCCCATTTCTTAATTTGTTATGCAATAAGGCAGGGCACTTCCCTTTTTGTATTACGCTTAACACTGTGAGATATATGCGAGACGGGTGGGCTATTCCGTGGCTCGCGTCCCACTTCCTCGGCTGTAATCCTCACAGTATTATATGGTTTGAAGTACATGGGCAGTAACGCTTCTTGCGTTCCCACTTCTTATTTACTGTGTGCCAGCGCAGGGAAAGATATTCTCTCTGTGTGTGTGCACAGATGTGAGAATTACGCAGAGATGGTGGGCTATTCTGCGGCTCGCGTCCCACTTCCTCGGCTATGATCCTCACAATATGATAACGTTTGAAGTAGATGGGCTGCATCGTTTCTCGCGTTCCCACTTCTTATGACCTGCAGTACTTACCACAAGGGGGTTTCCCTCCATTTGTGTGGATAGATGTGAGAAGTACACAGAGATGGTGGGCTATTCCGCGGCTCACGTCCCACCTCTTCAGCTATGATCCTCACAATATCAAGATGTTTAAAAGTAGATGGGCAGTACCGCTTCTCGCGTTCCCACTTCTTGGAAATTACCATGTAATAGTGCACTTAAGAACTTCTTAAGAGTTCCTGGCTTATGCCTGCCGATAAGACAGTCATTCCTTCAGCGTGGGGATTCGTTCCCCAAAGTGTCCTCTAGGGGACGCAGTGTGAGTTCTCATTCGATAGGGAACGTCTCAGGTTATCCATGTCACCATGGTTCCCTGAGAAGGGGAACGAGACACTGCGTCCCCTTGCCATGCTTCAGGCATTCCTGTGCACATCTCCTTCAGACAAGAAGCTGATGACCCGTGCTACAGGTGCCCTTTTATACTCTTGGTCGCACCAGTAACACGTCATGGGCCAATGACAAGTTCATTGTCGTGTTTCCACATGCACTTCAGACACCGGTCACGCTGAGGGCGTTCCCCAAAGTGTCCTCTAGGGAACGCAGTGTCTCGTTCCCCTTCTCAGGGAACCATGGTTACATGGGTAACCTGAGACATTTTGTCCATATAATCCAAAACATCAGTTTGTCCCCCATTTACTTTTATTGTACAGACTGTATAGACAAATAACACTCAAGCCATTTTTAAAATGTCTTCAATTGTGTTAAGATGTGTTGACTTTTATTGCTGTTCAGTGAAGTTTTAACCTTTTTGTCCATATCAAAGCCAATAGGGCCCAAAACAATATGTCATCCCCATTGACTTTCATTATATATACCTAAGAACACTCAGACATTTTTAAAATGTCTGTTGTGTTAAGGTGCGTTCATATTTACCAATATTCAGCAAATTGTTGCAGGCAAAATCTAATCATTTCAATAGGAATCCATGAGATCACATTAAGGGCAAAATATTTCCCCACACAGATTTAAGCTACAAACTGCTCACACAGATTTTCACGTTGACCAGCAGAAAGCCATTTGGTTTGAAGGTGGCTTCTGTGTGAACTATGCTTCATACATGGCTAAACTATTGCACAGAAGAAAGTAAGGCAAACAGGTTTGGAAAAACATGACATTTTTCATTTTAGATTGAACTATTCCTTTAAGTGCCATGCCTGAAATAAATAAACATTGTGATTTTCACAGAGCGCCTGAAAATGCTCTTAGTCCAGTCTGTCATTTAGCACCTCAGTGTGTGCTTCATGTTCTGTCTTTTCCATGTCCTTACATTCATGCTCTTTAAATATTCCAGCCAGTGTTTTGAAACGAGGACCCCAGTCACAGAGATTTCTGTAATCCTCCTTGGATTCAAGCACCCAGGACTCAATGGAACTGAGAGACTCGGCCACCGATCCTTCTCCCTCATATGCATACGTGACCAGAGAGTCATATGGAGGTGTTGAGTTCTCCAGAAGACAGTGATGGATGTAGGCTCGGATGTCCTCGCTGTCCTCGTTGGGCATGCACGCACTAGCCCGATTGGGCTCATCCTCTGATCTTATTTTTTGCAGCTGCGCCATCTCTTTGATGCCTTTGGGATTGCGTAACGTACCTATGTCAAAGGCCTGGGTGTCCTCTTCCCCACCCCCCTCATCGTCGTAGTGGATCACATTGTCCCGGATGTCCTCTTTAGATGACATCAGAGTGTCCTCCTTCTTGTGTTTTCTCAGGCCCATATAGAGCACCACCATCACTGCAAAACACCAGAGGCGCTTAATTTGTTTCGTGGCGTAATACACATTGACATACCTACAGTACAGGACCTTTAAGTGACAACAAACTAGTGAAAAAAAGGGATTGTCACATGTTCCGGAGCCATTAGCTGATTTCTTTTTTTGTTCTGGCGTGGGTTTTCAAAACGGGACCAAAGAGAACGGCAGCCCGAGGGTAGCCATAATGCAGTTTTGACTTGCTGTCTGTCACCATCGTAGTGCCTCGGTTGTGTGAGAGGAGGGGAGGTAGTTTTTCTGAGCTTTCATCTCCATCCTCTGAGGCAGACAGCGCTCGCCCCACTCCACTCCACTCAAAGAAAGATGCGAGAGAGAGAAAGAGACAGGGAGGCACAAGCGCTGCTGCGAGAATTAAAGATTAGACCTAAAAATTCACGCTTTCTGAAGAAGCAGAGGGGGAAATTTGGCTGAATCAACCTGCATGTGTTATTAAGGGGAAGGTTTTCTCCTGTTGTTATTTTCTAGTCTTTTAGAATATAATATTATCATATTCTAATCATTATTTCTGCATCAGCTCCCCCAAGTGGTTGCCGTATAAAGGAATCTCTCTTTTCTGTAATGCTGCCAAATGAAAATATGAAGTCAAAGCACATCACTTCACTGCACTGTCACTCTCTGCTACACGATTCACTTACCTAGTACTTATTGCAATACAGAGCTTTTATTGCAATTCTACCTTCCTCAGTACTCTTGTCCCATTACAGCTCTTTTTTTCGCATATAGAAGATTGTTTTAAAATAATTATTATAAAAATGATTTCACATTCTATGCTTTATGTACAGTATACTTTATATTATATGGGCGTTTCTGTAACTATGGGCACTTTGGCTTTTATAAACTCTTAAAACATACTTTTCAGACCTTACTATTTTATTTAATTTGTCCAGCAGTGTGTTTATATGCATCACAAAAACATTGTAAGTAATTTTCTTCTGAAAGTCATGAACATTTCCTCTCAAATGATGTGCTTTTTAATAGCATTCTGTGATGACAATTAATTTTTGTTTCCCTAGAAGATGGTTTTGTTTTGTTAAGGCTGATTTCATTGCTAGCATTAATGTATCTTAAATATACAAACATAAAATAGTATGTTCATGTTTTGCATGATTACAAAATTATAGCTTAACTGGAAATTAAGTACAATTAAACTATTTTCTTCACAAGTGATAGGTTGAAAAAAAATTTACACAATGATTGCAAAAATGATTTATGATTTTTATTTATATTATCCTAGTTTTAAACATGTAATTCATGTTTGTATTATTGAAACAGTAAGATTGAAAGTCCAGGTCTGGGACAAAAGTAACCAATACAATCTAAACTAATGTTCAAGTTTGAAGTTACTAAAGAAATCAATACATTTGTTCAGCAAGAATGTATTAAATTGATCGAAAGTCTCCATTAAAACATTTATTCTGTTACAATAGACTTCTATTTCAAATAATGTTTGAATGTTTGACACAAACTGTCAAACACATCTTACCAGCAAACATACACTCGTTTTCATCCTTCTCTCCACTCTCTGAGGCAGAAGTCTCTAAACTCATCCTTTCCAATCATCCTACTACTTGTCCGCTTGATCCTATTCCATCTCATCTCCTTCAAGCCATTTCTCCTGCCGTTGTACCTGCACTCACTCACATCATTAACACATCCCTTCACACTGGTGTTTTTCCCTCAACATTTAAGCAGGCTCGTATAACCCCACTTCTTAAGAAACCCACTCTAAACCCAAAAGCACGCCAGTGGTTTGAGCCTTACCTTTCAGATGGGTGCTTCAAGGTATCTTGGAGAGGTGAGGTGTCCAAGTCGCAACATCTAGCTACTGGGATGCCTCAGGGCTCAGTATCTGGACCACTTCTCTTCTCTGTCTACATGGCATCACTAGGTTCGATTGTTGCTCTTTTGTTAGTTTTGACTGCTTTTATTGTCCTCATTTGTAAGTCACTTTGGATAAAAGTGTCTGCTAAATGAAAATGTAAATGTAAATATACAGAGATTAATTAGTATGAAGGAGATAAAGAAACATGCAGGTGCATGTTTGAATTCTTGAAAGAGCACACACACACAGGCTGCTATTAATAATTCAAATCAGATCCTTCCTTTTGTAGAGAAATACAACAGCTATCAGTTCTTTTCAATATCTCACCTTTGAACCCCACTCTGGTCTAAAACAAGGAAGTTAATGGTGTTCATATAACATCCTCCTAGCTTTGTAGAGAAAGATACCACCTATATTTGCTCTCTGATGGTGGAATGTTGTGATTGCAGGGGTTGACTGCAGGTATGATGTGAAGAGAGAAACAGTCTCCATGATCTACAGCCGCTCAGATGAGGAGAGTCCCGCCGGGATTGATGAAGATCTACAGCCAAACTCTGAAACTTGTGTGAACATTCACTAAATAAATAAATAGTGGCTGTGACGAGCATGTTTTGCAGGGTTTTCCTCAGCGCTGACTGGATGATCCGCTTTCCAAAATGGTTTCATCAAAGACACCTATTGCTTATTTCCCTTGATTTGTTTTATGTAAATATTTCTGTTAATTTATTTAAAAGCCTATAAATTTTAGTAATTTTTAGTGCTAAACTGAGTGATAAATGTCTGGTGCATTGTTTAATATGAAAATAAACATAAAAATGTTAAGGCCTCAACTACTGCGAGCCTTCGTCTCATCAATTTATGAAGACAGTGTAATTGTATCCTTTGCTGCCTGATATCCCACAATGCTGTTTTTAACAACTTTATCCACTTTTGATGTTATAATTCTAGCAAGAAACTAGTATTGTAGTAATTATAAATATTAAGGGACATTTTCATGACTTGACCAGTAGATAGCAGCAATGATCCACACTTGATGCTCACTGAAGCCAGTGGGTCACAATCAGGAGGCCTCAGCAAATTTAGGGAGGTTACCAGACATCAGCATTCTTTGTAATAATTCACAGTCTGCATTGTCAGAATCAGACATTTTAGATGCCTTTCTTACAAGGAAAGTGAAGTCACACTTTATGATCTCACTCACTGAACACCTGAGGTGATTGTTCTTGAGTGTTTCTCATCAGCATAATTGCATTGGCCTGAATAAACTCTGATAAACACATTTACTGTTTGTGGCATGAAACAATAACACCTTTTTAGGAAAATTAGGTAAAAAAAGTCCCACTCATAAATGACAAACCCTTACTCCTTGCTAGAGCACTTAAACAACAACATAACAGTGTGGCGACTCTCACAGAGGGGTGGACTTGTGTGATTTTGAGTGTACAGAGGTGAACTTCATCATCCTGCTTTATACTAGCACAACTTCAGCTCTTCTGAGTGAAACGAGAAACATGAGTGTATAAAGTATTTGCCTGCATGTATAATATGCTGTAAAAGCTGGTAATTTACACCAGCAGATGAACTGAGCGGCAGCTCAATCTCGTTTTTATTTAGATCATCTGGGCGTAAAGGGATGTGGTTTGTGGGCAGATACACAACTGCTGCTGTTTATGTGTAGGTGAAGGGCACTTCGCATTAAAAACCATCAGACCTCATTGACATGCGATCAAAAGGTTTTGCTTTAAACCTGGACAGACCGTAAATGTTTGAAGTACGCTGAAGGAAAATGCTTGTCTGTAATCGGTTAGCTTTGATTCTGCTCATTTTATGTAGTAAGTCAAACTTCAGTTTGTCTTCTATTTGTCTTTGCTGTTTCTTGTTGAAAGAAAAATGCATGCCGCTCTTGTTCTCCAGGTGCTTTTGGTGCTGAGACAGATGAAATCAAGACAATATCAGTGATGACTGGAGATTCTGTAGTATTACATACTGGTGTCCGTGAGATTAACAGAGAGAAGCAGATACTGTGGCTGTTTGGACCTGATAATCCAGACACTCTCATTGCTGAAATCTATAAACTGAGCATATCTATATATGACAGTTATGAGGGATTTACAGACAGACTGCAGATGGACCAGCAGACGGGATCTCTCAC